TCCTCTTTTGCTCATTTTTCACACAACAGCACAGCAACAACAATGGCAAAAAATGAAAATAAAGAAACAAAAAATACAACAAAAAAATACAGAAAATCCTCTTCAAGCTCAGCAATTGGCGAAGAAATAAATTAAATTTAACTTGCATTTTTCCCCGCTGCCGCGAAGGGCCAAAGTTGTTCTCATTCTCCTACTTGGCATTGCATGTATCTTACAGATACTCGGTTCTGCCGTAGGTTCTGAAGCTTCGCTCGAGCGCTTTCTGCCATATGCAAATTAAAATTAAAAGCCTTTTTGTACTGCTTAACTTTATTTTCCGCCCTCCTCCCGTAATCCCCGTCTTCCATCGCCAGCCAGCCACTCGAGGAGGATCTGGAGTTGGTCATGGACTTGGACTTGGTCTTCGTCTTCGTCTTGGTCTTGGTCTTGGACTTGGGCTTCGAGTTGGTCTTCGACTTGCTCTTGGACTTGTAGTTGGGGTCTGCGGCTGGTCTCGTCTCTTGCCTATGACTTTACAATTTGTTTGGCCTGCTGCGGCCGCCGATAGGCCCTCTGAAGTGTGAAACATGGCTTCACACAAATGTACAGCGGGAGAAATAGGGAAATAGTTGTTCGAAGGGCCTTACCATACATGATTTTTAATGTTTTCTGATGGTTTGGTTCGTGATCAATCCCTGTAAATCGTTGTAAATTAAGTACCGAAACTTATTTCAAGATTAGAGTTTACAGGAATGGAAAATCACTTCAAGTATTCTTGTATCTTAATGTTTCATTTGGTAAAAAAATCCAATTAAATTATATGTTTTTTAGTTGGTTATTAAAATTGCTTATATTATATTTTAACAACTAAATATTTTTTGATGATTAGTTTTTAACGAAAAAATAAAATCAAATGAACTGGCAATTTCACAACGAATAACTTTATCCTTGCATTTATAAATACTACTGTTCCATTAGTAAAGACAATTTTCTAGCAGTGTTCCACACAAATGAAGATTCACCCACACAGACACAACTCAGCACAAAATGACTGCGGACGAGGCTTCGTCTTCGTCTTGGCTTGTCATTCCATCGCCTCCCCCAACTCCTCCTCCTCTCCCCCGTCCTCTTAAACAACAACAGCAGCAAGAATAACAATAATACCAACAACAACAGAAACAACAACAAAAAAGCATAACAACAAAAAACAAAATCCGCTGGCCAACTCTGACTTCATTGGTTTGTCTTGGCGCTCTGAACTGCGCTGAACTTCTTGAAGCGGAAGTTCAAGGCGTTCACTCAATTGTATCGTGTAATGAAATGTTTTATAACACCAAAACAGACACCAAAACACCAGCCGGCACTTGGGCCGGTCTACGAGATCTTGGCCTTCTCGAGTCTGGCGAGATTCTATCAATCCAGCGTTTTATTCAACCGCTGCGCTCTGTGGGTCATTGGCTTCTGCCACTCAAGTCGCCCTTAATCGTCAGCGATTTGATGGCTCATTAGCATTAATATATGTAATATTTATGCAAATATTTACTCGCACATCTAGCAGCATTCGGACCGACTTCTTTTTCTGGTGGCTCGTTCCCATCATTTGTCATAGGAAAACCAATCAGTTTATAGCAGCTAATTATGCGCCAATAGCTAAACTGAAGCAGCAAATCGAAGGGAATCATAAAGGGAACAAGGAAGGAGAAGGTTTTAATACTCTTTGAGATGTGAGCATAGAGAACCGAGGAAATAAAATGCTTACCAAACAAATGTTTGCATTTGTAAATACGGTTTTTTAAACATAAACATCCGGAAGGTTCTCAAAATAATGTTTTTTCCATTTTTGCGTTTAAGTTGTAGATACTTTTATGTGACCTAGAAATATTATTATATTTATTTCCTATAACTATTTCGATACAATTGTAAACAATCTCTGATAATGCACAGAATAGATAGACATATATATGGATTAACCAACTAATTTATTCAAAATTGGTTGTTTATATTATATGATCTCTGTAAGTAAAATGGACTTGCATTGCATAAGATATCTTTTAAAAATATGTTTCCCTTAGCAGCATGTTTATCTAGGATTAGAGGCAAAAGCTACTTATTAATCTACTTTTTTTGTGTGGGAGGCAAAGCCCTAATCATAGTCTACATACCCCTAGGAAAACATTCCGTCAAGAAATCTCCCATATCGCTGGAGTTGAAGTGACAGCCAGCTCCAGTAAAGCTGACTTAACTCTCTCAAGGTTGTAGACCTTCGCAGAGCGAATACCAGAAAAAGAACCAGAAAAGCAGCGCAAATCAGAAGGGGGAGTACGAGGAAGGTTCTTTTGGAGGTGGAGGTGAAAATGGAGATGGAGATGGAGGAGTAGGAAGAACAAAAAACGAAATGATAAAGTATTCCAAAGGCCAGGGCAGACACACACAAAAATTGACGTAACTTATTCGCATTTATATCACTCCTCTCATCGGGAGAACCGCCGATGCCGATACAATGCCGTCGAGGCATCGGACATGGCCGGAGATTCAGATACAGATACCATCATCAGTGTCGGCTCACGCAACAACCATAAACAACAACTACGGGCTGGCGCGTCAAAATTAATACGTTTTTAAATGCCAAAGCCACGCAGCTTCCTGTAGAGAAAGAGAGCGAGGGATTCGGCTTCGAGTTGGTAGAACAAGAGGAGCAGGAGGGAGGGGGAGGGGGGAAGAGACCCCAGAGCTCAAAAGATCCGAAGATCTTCAAGTCCCCAGTTGGCCCAATCCGAGCCGCGAAGTTACCAAAGTCTTACGCACATGCGTGTAATTGTTTTTATTCTGCCCGACTCCGGTTTCCAGGTCGAGCTCAAGACCATCAGATTTTGGCGGAGGAGGTTCAAAGAGTTTCACAGAATAATCAAAATAATAATATAAAAACATATCAATAATAAATATATTTGGATACCCTTTACAGCAAAAAAAAATAATTGTTATTATAATAGGTATTGTGAAATGATTAAAAATGATTTTTTAAATTAATTGTATTTAAGATTCATAAATTGTATAGCTCTGTGCTTTTCAAAAATATTTATGATATATTCTCTGCAATTCAGTAGTTTCTGACAACCAAAATAAGTGAACTGAAAATAAATACATCTTGTTATATGTATCTTCAACTCTATAAACTCTTCTTAAGGCCCTCGCAAATTAATGATGCTCGGAGCAGAGACCCCAAACCGAACCCTTAACGAAAAAGCAAAACCGAAATGTAAATTGAATTTTAAAAGGCAATTTAACGTGCGCGCTCGGCCCGACTGTGGCCATAATTAAAAATTATCTTCAATTTAACACTCGACAGGGCAGAAATGCCTCAATTCCTGATCTACGCAATTTATTCATTATTTTTGGCCCTAGCCATGAAGTGCTTTAAATAATACTCATTTTTTTCTTAATTAACCGATAACAAATGCGTGTGTAATGTATTGCATTTGAAATTATGCGAATCCGATTTCCATGTTGATTTATTGGCATTTGAGATAAGCGAGCAAATTGCATTAAAATTAATGCCAAATTAATTAGCTGCAGAAGGGAAAAGAAAAGGGGGCGGGAAAATGGCTTCACATTGCAATTTCATTCGGAACGATTCCGCCCAACCAAGTGCTGCATTTAGTGGATTTTAATTGCATTTCTGTTCTGGCATTCAAGTGGAAAATATCTTTGGTTCAACTGTGTCGAATTTGCTCATTGGGGATTACCACAAGATTATGCTGGCAAAGGAATTCATTTTTAGGAGAAAAGAAAAGTTTGCTGTGGAAAATATTTAAGCAGTTAATCAATTTCCAAATTCAATGAAACTGCGCATTAAATTCGAGGGAAGCATATTGTTTGCCAGGTGAGAAATTCATAAGCCCTTGTAGGTTGTTTCTCAACGGCAGCCAATCAAAAAATGCATTTTAATCTCGCCTCTCAATTATAACTTTGTTTTGCTATGCGAACAGTTTTCAATTTACATAAATCAAGTTGATTCCACCTAAGCCAACCAATGCCCACGTGAATCATTTGTACACATATTTTCATCTATGCAACCAGTGATACAGTCCGGATCGATATTGTAAGTGCGTGCTAATTTGATTTTTGTTTTTTCAAAAAATAGTTTAGCTTTTGGTCAAAGATAGGGTTGAATCTTACATATATTTCTTTAACAATAATCTTTCCTTCCTCACCAGTCCGACTTATATTTATGTATCACACTTTTTTTGCCGCATCGACAGCTGGCAAATAAATGTTGTGAATAAAATTTTACGCCCTTTTTATGATTAATTCGCTGTCATTTAATTGCCACAAAATGCGACAAAAACAGATAAAATGCCAACCGAAATTGTCAAACAAAAATATTATTATTCGACGCCGTATTTGCATATTTTGCAAAAACTTTGCCCAATTGGCTTTTGAATATTCGAGAGTTGGCCAAAACATAAAACGATAAAAACGCAGCATCGGAAATAATAATAAAGAGCGGCGCGATTTTATGCAAATGCAGCACGCGTTTGTTGATATTTGTTTGCGGCTTTTTCGGAGGCGCGTCGCTTGCTTTCGAACTGAGTTTTAAAGCGGCCAGCATCGTTATTTAGTTAGTGAAGTCGTAAAATCCCAGAGACTTTAATTGATTTGCCCCACTCGAGCATGCGAAGCACGTTCCGACGGGCCACCAAGTCGTATGGGTAATATTTGTAGAGCTGCAGCAAGTGAGTGTGAGTGTGTAAATATAAACGATTAAATAATTGAAAGATGCTGATTAGATAGCATTACAACCCGAAATACGTTTTGTCTGAGGGGCATAAATAAGGGAGCAAATGAGATGCAAAACAATCCAATTTAATTGCAAATTTAAATTGAAATTTTGGCAAATTTGCCAAAGGCCCCCAAGGGATTTTGAGTGGGTGGTTGCTTATCAATAACGACTTTAATTAATCACTGTTTAAAGATATCAGTATAACACAGCCTGTAAACTCAATATCATAGCATGAACTTACTTTGTCAAGTTCCTTGTTTTCCTTAGTTTGAAAAGTCTTTCAATCTGTCGTGACCTTTTCCACTCGATGAACGTAAATTGTAATTAATAATGCAAAATATCGACACAAAAACGAAACTGACTTCAAAGTAAAAGACACAAATATTTAATAAAACACATCAATATTTATAAGCGAATTTCCATATTTTCGGTTACACACTTTCATTCAAAAAACACAAGCACAAATATTTACGCAAATTATAAGCCAATTTAAGTGGGTTTTGATTGGAAAATAAATCCTTTTTGTATGTGAAATATACTGAAAATAGAAATAAAGTAAAAAACATTCAATAAATAGGAAAAGACTAAATAAATCTTAAATAAATCATGAAAATGGAAGGGATTTTGTGTTAAGACTAAGGGATTATACCAAATAAAAATATATAAACTTTGTTTTATAAAAAATTTAGCAGTTTATTCAGGCTAAAAAGGAAATGCTAAAATGAAGCTAAGACCTTAAAGTAATTATTAAAAGCGAAGTAATATAAGTAAACAGTGACAAGGAATTAAATTACTTTGGAAACTGATGGCTTAAGCCATATAAATTATGAAAAAAATGTGCCGGCAAACAAATGTCTGCAAATTTTCCTTTCTACTTGGCTGAATCTCTTGCCCCCTTTTCCCCTTTCCAACCAATTTCCCGCTGGATTCCGGGGGGATTAAGGCTATATCTAGGGCTAGAGAGAGTGTGCAGGGGGACAGTGGCTACTAAAACTGTCTCAAGTTAATCGCTTTTATTTATTTTCGCCCTGTGCCAAGCGAAAAAAGGCAAACACACGCACACACACACACACACAGCGAGTCGGGAACCTTAACTGCAACCGGTTTTTCCACTCGCACACACAGGGACTTTTTTCTTTTTCTTTTTTAAATTTTTTTTGCGCGCTTTTAGCTATTTTCTTCTTTTTAATATAAACTTTTTTCGTTTGTTTGCTGTTGAAGAATTTATGAAAATCATAAAACAAAAGCGAATTTCGTTCCACATGTGCATTAGTGTGTGTGTGTTTAGTCTGGGCTTAGTTTCGTATGTGTGTTGGTGAGCGCGCTTAGGTTGCTTAGGTTGCAGTTGCAACAGATAGACACCACAAGCTTTCATGTCTAGCCAGGTAGCTGCTCTTGGCCAGGTTAACACGCCAGGCCTGGCGACGTCATAAAGTCAGCTGCCGCTTCTGTTTTCTTTTGTTGTGACTTGCTGCCAGCCTTTTGTTGCCAGTTGTTGCTGCTGCCGCTGCCGTTGCTGCTGCTGCTGCTGTCGCTAGATGCTGCCGTTGCTGTTGCTGTTGTTGCAGCGGCAGAAACTATTCGGTTGACAGAGGCTGCTAGCCAGCTTTCAAGGCTGTTTAGAAGGCAGCCATCTCACACACACACTCGGCCACACTGGCTCTAATTTCTCCTGTCATTAAGTAATTTCGTTTGCTTAAAAATGTCTCGCCAAAAATAAATTCATTCCGCAAACAGGCTACCGTTTATAATTAATTCAACAATTTTGTTTTGCTTTCAGTTTTTTGTGTTTCTGTTTTTTTTTTCTGTTTTTTTTTTGGGTTCAAATTACCGTTTTCAATGTGCGGGAGTAAAACGTGTTTTGATTTTGTTGCTGCTGCTTTAGCTGTTGCTGCTGCTGATGTTGCTGCTGCTGCTGCTGCTGCTGCTGCGAGTGATATTGCTGCTTCTTTGGGTTTTCAGTTTTCAGTAGCGCGGACACGAATTGAGAGATTTGAATTGGGAAAACCAACACGCAAGGAAACGCAGCGTCGTATTCGACTTTTTCGTTCGGCTGGCAAAGCTCAACTGAAATGCCAAACAAAAACGCTCGCAACAGAAGCGTTACTAGCCAACAAGAAGAGGAAGAGTTGGCCACGAACTGGTTTTCGTGCATCGCCGGCATGGCCCGAAGTCGAAGGCTTCGGCTTATAGAGACCCTCTGCCCATTTTCCCCCACAGCTGTTGCTCTTTTGGCCACAAAAATAGTAGTAGAAAATAGTAGTGAACGTAGTAAATCACAAGTGGCCAAGAGCCAAAAAATCCAAGGCAATTCATTTGTGGCCACAGCCAAACAAATGAAGGCAATTAGCTCCGAAAGCCAAATTCTTTTTAAATCCCTTTAAATGACTTTGTCATTTTTTAAGCCTCTCTTTGCCTTTTTGGCCCGCTCTCTCTCTCTCTCTTAAGTGGAAAACTCACGCGCTCTTCGACGGAAGTTAAACTGCATCAGCCGGTTTGTTTACCTTTTTTACGTGTCATACTGTTATACCGGCCAAACAGCTGTGAGTTTGGCTAACCAACACTAACTCAACTTCCGTGATGGCTTGTGTGTGCTGCCTTTTTCCAGTTAGTGGGTGGTTGCCATGGCGTGTTGATAAATAAGCAAATAAATAAATAAACAGTTTCAAGTGTTTGCCCAAATTGAGTCAAATTTTCACTCTTCTCGATTGAAGTTGCCGGAGGGGAAATAAATTGAAATACTTTTGCCCGATTGATGACTTCATTAAGTGCAATTGCAACAATTAGCCAAAGTTTGGGTATTCGAAACACTCGATTTGATTGGTAACTGCATTTTCGGGGGAAACTTTTAAAATGATATTGATTAACTATTTGTCAAAATGTACTAGTAATAATTCGGGAATAGTGATTAGTTGTTTATCACAAAGAGTGCAATATTGTAGCGAAGGAATTAATAGAAAAAATTGCCTAAAATAAAAGGTATTAATGTTAATTGTGCCAACAGTACAAATTAAATAAGTCCATTGGGATTAATCAACGGTAAAGGTATGTATATTGGTTGAAAGGCGACCCGACATTAAATACCTTGAATAATTCAAAGTCCCTGGGCGAGGTATCCCAGCGGGAATTAAGCCAGACATCTAGGTTAGGTAATGCGACTTATCGTGAATCAATTCATTTAAAATCGATTCACTTAAATAGATTTAATTGAACCGCTTAAGCCAAGACAGGCTTTCGGCTTGACCCACTGGAATTGTGACAGATAAACTTGTTGTCTCCCCCTTTCCCCCTTTCAAATCGCTGGCCTCGATTATTTTCACAAATTGTAATTACTTAATCGAAACAATTGAATTGTTTTCCGGCTACTGTTCAACCCACTCCCACTCCACACTTTAAACCTCCGCACCCAAAAAAACAAAATTGTTATTGAACACGGTTCGATTGTGAACCTTTTTCTTAGCCATTTCGGTGATTTCATAACTTTATTAATTCATTTGTTCATTGTTTCTTTTGTGATGGCTTTTCCCCCGTTGTTTACGGGTGGCAATTCAAGCGCGACAAAAGACAAGAAGCCGAAGCAAACCGATGGTTATACTATAAACCGCGGGATCCAAGTCCATGCCAAAGAAATTCCAATTAATGAAAATGAGAACAGCCCGGGGGAATTAAAGGGGAGCTTGGCAGGCAATAAAATTATGCAAACAGCAGGTGTTGGCCATTAGCTTTTCCAGCGTTTAGCTGCATTCGCCAATTTGGGTCATTAGCAGGTGTTGTCATCTCTACCAATTTCCTTTTTTATGGCCAAACACCATGTCTTGCCGGCCCAACCACAAAACTTCGCCTCGAGCTGTGCGCAACCAATCAAAGTTATTAAAACAAAAGAGCAGTGTAGAAATTCTTTTTATTATTTTTTTTTTTTTTTTGTATATTTTTAGGGAGTGGAACGGGGGCTTTTCGAAGTGTAGAAAATTTAATTAACTGCTAAATTAAATACACTTTTCGGCATGCTCTTCGGATTGTTCTAGCCGTGTTCTTTTGGTTGTTTTTCTGGCTTTTTGTTCGTCGTGGTTCCCCAAAGAATGGCGAACTCCGAACCAGAACGGGCTAAAAACCACTCAACGACCACCACCCGCAATGGAGCGTCCAGTATTCGGGTGGTTCTTATTGTTAATGTTGCTGTTGTTGTTGCTGCTGCTAATGTTGTTGTTGTTGCTTCTGTTGCTGTTGCCGCAGTGCGTCGGAAGTTGTCGCCGGCAATCAACAAACCATAACGCACAACAAACAACGGTACTCCGGCCGCCGTGCCAAAATGCCAGGGAAACATTTAACGCCGCTTTGCCCCGCCAGCGCCATCTCTTTCCCACTCTTGGGATCGCCCATTCCAAATAGAAAGAGAGGTGAATAAAAGAAATTCATTAAAAAGTTCTTTACCTCACAGCGCTCAACAAATTAGCCAGAGCTTGATAAGGAGCTAAAAAGAAAATAGAAATAGAAAAAGAAAATAATTAAAACCACAAATAGGTGCGGAGGCCCACAAATTGTTCTAGATGCATAAATTAAATATGTTAAAAGCGTTTATCAGCAGAAGAGACTATGAAGAACCAGAAAAATACTTTACCAATTTATCACTAAATAACTATAAATATATTTAAAGTAGCAGAAAGTTGAAAAAATACATTTGAAGAGGTAAACAAATGTTCTGTTTCCCAAACACTCAACTGATTAAAACTATGTTCAGCATTTGTTTACCTATTTCTTTGTGCAATTAGGACTAAAATTACACATAAATACCAAAACGGCACACAAATTTCACCATTTGGCCATATCAAAATTATCGATCGCAATAAATAGTTTCAGTTCGGTTTAAATTGTGCATTGTTTTCGTTTATCAATTTCCCGGCCATAAGCTGTCAATTTTATGGCCAAAAGCGGCGCTTCTCTTTATGAGTTTCAACACCCATTCCCCAAACATTTTCCCCCAGCTGCTGGGGAGCCCAACGCACTAAAAGTAAATTTATGTTGATGATTTTGTGCGCGGCGGCCTATTGCCATAGTCAGAGTTTCGTTTGGATTTTCGCAGCCAAAGTCATGGACATTGGACTTTTGCTGGCGGCGCACGCAGACGTAGAGCCTCAAATTGGAGAGCTGAAGTTGGGAGCCTATATATATATATATATACAAAAATACAGTGGGGGAAGAGGGAGGGGAAGGCCACGGCAGACAATGCAGCTTGGACTGCGGTCATTGGACTGCTGCCCACCCAAAAAGGCGGCACTAAATTGCTTTGAAATGCCGTTAGAACAATAATTGCGCGCACACCATACTGCCAACATATGATTGGAGCGTGGAGATAGAAAAGCCTTTGCCTTTGCCAATTTATTGAGTTGTAAAATTTGGCGGACGGCGGCGGCGAGCCGAGTGCACTGAGTGCAATGTGCAGCATATTAAAAATAAATAAATTAAAAGACGTAAGGCGGACGGAGGCTGCGCTCATTAGAAGCCAACAGATGGAGCCAGTCGACTGGGGTGAAGATGGAGATGGAGATGGAGCGCGGTTGGCAGGAGAGAACGAGAGCTGGGGCCTCGACCCACTCCAGACTAATTGCCCAGCATAAATGGGCTGGGGAATTCTCACAAACTTTATTCTCAGCTCCACCTTGAAAAATATTAAACAACTGTTACCAATTTTAAGCGAAGGATAGGCACTAGACGAAGAAACAATTTAGTAAATCTATTTTAATTTAATGAATCAATAATTATAAGAACTAAAATTAAGGTAACCAACTAAAGCTAAGTAAGTAAAACCAAGTAAAGCAAATATAGAGATATTTTAATTATTTTATTTTTATTTATTTTATTTAGGCTTGAACTTGGAAAGTTCTCGAATGTAAGTTGACTTTGAAGTATGTATTTAAAAGGCTTAAATGGTGAGCATATTAAAAATAAATGTATATTTTTTCCAGTGCACCTTCCCCGCTACTTCTTTTGGCTGAGACAGTGACGAATGTCACTTCCTTATTGCAAGGTCAGTTGGCAGCTCGCTGCACCCCGGGATTCCCCTCCCACAAGATCGCGGAGGCAACAGGAACTTGCAACTGCAACTGCAACTGCATTGATTGATGCTCTGCCAGCTGCCGTTAGTCGCCGACTTGGGCCGCCAAAGGAGCAAATGCAAAACTTCACGCCAAATTGGCAGAGCCTAATCTGTCCCAGACCCACGGACCAGGTCCAAAAATAGTCAGCCAGGCCAATTGGCAAAATTCGCTGTATGTGTGTTAACAATAAACATAAATTAATGAAATGCTAAAACAGTCGCGGCAACGCAAACACGGCGAACAAGCAAATTGGAAGGGGACATGTTTATGGGAACTGATGGGAAGCCAGCTTCCTTTGCCGCCGTCCTTCCCCACTGCCCCACTGTACCCTGTACAGGTCGCACTCGGCGAGTGCCTCTCTCACCTTGTTCGGCGCATTTTGTGTGGCCATTTTCGGGGTAATTTGTTGTATCTATCCGTTTAATGTGCGGGAATTCGTTGGTCTTTGTGTTTGGTTTTTATTTTATTTTTACCTGAGTCTCACCACTAAATAATTAAAATATCCGCAAAGAGGGATGGAGAAAAAAAACGGGAAACACAGGAATGTTAACGACTCAATAAAGAGATGCAAACAAATGACACCTGTGGCTGAGGAAGAAGTCTGCTTCTTCTAGCAATGCTTTATAATAAAGGATGCACTGATAAAAAATGCTAAGGGGGTACTATTTAAAAAAGCATATTAAAATCGTATAGAAATATACCCATTGAAACTTTTTAATGATAAAGGATAACCATTTATACAATTTTTAACAACTTTTTTTAAAATCATAAATATGAGTTTTTAAACAAATCGCATTTAAGAGGAACTTACCATAATATAATTATTTCATATTGGAAAAAAAAATTTTTTATCAATTTCTTCAATTTACCCATATCAAATTTTTACTTTTTACATTGATAAACTTAGCATTATTTTTTTGCTGAATAAAATAATATGTTTACATAACAAGAATAATTTG